AAAGAATTTGCTGTACACTTAAAATGTTGTTTCACTATCACGAAATTGACATTCATGTGGCGTGCAATTAGACGATAATTTTACGTGTAATCCATTGTGTCACACATCTTTTCGATCGAGCAATAATTTGTTTGCTGAATATTTATCTGCCTCTCGTGCTTCTCAACAGTCACAAAATGCCATCTTTGATATTCCCATGCAATAATAAAAGCAGTGCTTAAAGTTTCACACTTTAATCATGAAAGCCACTCCACCGCTATATCCCTATCAGACGGCATGGTTCCGTGAAGGATTTTAACTATGAATTTATGGTAAAATCCCTTACGGAACCGTTCATGTGACGGGACTGAAGTCTTTTTATCTATATGTATCGTTAGAATGGGAACATTTTTAATCGATTTATGGTAAAAAAAAAAAATTAGCTGCGAGAAAATTAAATAAACGCTTGAATTAATTCAACCGTAACTATTCTGCTTAATTAACCTAAATTACTTATTTTAAAATAATACAAACACCAACATAAGAAAAAAACATAAAATTAAAGATACATTAAAATGAAAAAAAAAAAGAGAGCTCTCAAGCTTCATCTTCCTCGAGCGAGAGTTGCTTCAGCCACTCGGACGTCCGATGATATGACAGCCGCTTTTTTGCCGCCGCCCGCTTTTTCACCTCCACACACTCGCCCTCGCTGGAGCTCCTCGTTATAACCACGACTCTGCTTCTAACTGTATCAACCGCATCACCGGAGCACTTGCACCCGCCTATCGAACTCAGATTCTTCCTCAACCTGCTCAAGCTGCTGAGGCTGCCGGCGGCGCTCCTGCAGCTCTCGGTGCTGTTGCGGCTCCCGATTCTCCTGTCCCGTGGCTTGAGGCCCTGAAACGCGATCTCCGGCGGCGGCGGCGCCAGCATCCCCAGCCGGAAAATGCTCCACGCCGGCGAGGCCTTGGCGGAGCTGTTCCGGCGATTTGTGGTGACGAGGAAATGGGATCTCGGAGATGGGCTCGGGTGGGAGTGGAATCGGTTTTGTGGCTGCGGTAATTTGGGACGGGCGGAGCTGCCCCTGCCGCTGCCGCTGCCGCTGCTGGTGGATGACTGGCGGCTGCCGCTGCTGCTGCTCCGGCTGGAGATCGGCCCTCCCGAACCAGAGTGGAGCCGGTCCATGGATTCGGATCGGGTAATGGGTCGGGTCGTGCAGTAGCGCAGAGGCAGAATTTGGCCCCGGAAAAAGATCTCATCGGCGGTGCGCATTTTTTCGGATTCTTTTGAGAGAGAGCAGAAATCAAAGTCGTCGTGGATTTGAGTATCCATTTGAGGATTGAATTTTTCTTGTTTTTGGTCATATTTGGGGATGAGTGGGAGAGCGCTCAACGACAGCGTGTCGTCGTCTTCGTCGTCTGTTTCGACTGAAGAATTTGGGACTGCCCATCTCTCGTTAGCGCCAATATTTTCCATCTTGTTCATTGCTAGCTCGAAAAAAATGAAAGTAGAAGAAAATAATGTATTTGCTAGTTGTGTGGTGTCTTTGAAATGTGCATGGTGATCAAATGGCGAGAAATTATGTGCAAATGAATCTATCCTATTATAAATATAAAGCTTCCATGACATAATGTAAAGGTTAAATTTGAGAATGATAAAAAATAATGTGCATAGTTAATGATAATAATTTAAAAGTGATAGCGATACCTAAAGTGATCACATCATGCTACAGTACGGAACCCGGAATCATTCCATCGGAATTTGTAATCGTTAGATCATCGTGTGACCATCGGAGATAGTTGATTTAACGGTTACAAACCTCGACAAAATGATTCAGTAACCGGACCATAACATCTGTGGTGAGTTTATATATATATATTTTTTTATGTTTATTGCATGGATCAAAATATTGGATGCGTTATAAGCCGGCCCACTTCCTTTTAACTGCAGCGTGCGCTTCACTAATCATTCTACTCAATATTGTTGGAGAAAAATTAAATAGAAATTTCTCTTTAATGTGTATATGTTGTGCATAAAGTGGGTGGGGCGGCTATGTAGTAGTAAGATTTTGAAACACTTATTATTATTATTATTATTATTTTTTTTTTTTTGGTACAGAGACCTTCCGGTTTCCGGATCCACAGGGGAACCGACTAATCCGGAATCGAGCCGGGTAGGACCACAAGGGCGGCAAAGCTCTCCCTCAAGAGTTTTAACACTGCTGCATTCCCAGGGCTCGAACTCGAGACCACTGGTTAAGCTGGAAGAGACCCAAGCCATCTCATCCAAGTGCTCTTGGGTATTATTATTATTATTATTATTATTATTATTATTATTATTATTATTATTATTATAAGATTTTGACACACTTATTATTATTATTATTATTATTATTATTATTATTATTATTATTATTATTATTATTATTATTTAATAATATTCAAATTGTAGCGGCACTGTCATAAAAAAGGAACAGCTTTTGTTTGGTGTTTTTGTGGGGTTAAAAATATTAGTGCGGAACATTAATTTGCAGACTGATGACATAATGTTTACAAACATTTCCAGAATGTTTCTAAAATATTCGTTCTCTTAGGACATACAGTGATGTTACATTGGAGGTTGCTCGAAAATGGGTTAAATTTGAGGACATATATGTGGGTTGGAGTTTTTACAGAAATATTTATTTCTAATAGTTCAATTTTTTTTTTTTTTTAAAAAAAAAATTATTTAAAGTACAGTAAAACTACAAATTTAGTAAATTAGGTGGTCTAAATTTGCTCCTATAGTTAGATTCTGAAGATAATTTGTATGACTTCTGTTAGGTGCATGGCCTAATAATTAGACGAACAAATATACATTTCCAATATGCTGATTAGGGCTGAGCACGGGTCTCGGAGATTACCGAACCGTACCGAAAACCGAACCGAATTCACCCCGAACCGAAAAATATCCGTTGACTGTTTGACTATCTCCGAACCGAACCGTACCGAAATTTTTTTCGGTATGGTTCTGGAGATTCATAAAATATCCGTACCGAGAACCGAACCGAACCGAAAATAACCGTACCGAACCGAGGAACCGAACAAGAACCGATTCTAATTCATAAAATCCATATATATATTTATATTATATTGTATCATATGTATTTTTTTTCATCTTTATACATAATTGTATTCAAATAAAATCTATACTCTATGTATATGTCCATAAAACTATCATGAGTTATATTTCAAATTGAGTTGCGAAAAAACATCCACTATTGAACGTTAACATAATTTAAAAACGGGAAAATATTTATTTTATTTTGGTACTACTTATGAGACACTATTAAATCTAAGATCTCATTTTCGATTTTTTTTAAAAGAAAATTAAATTAATATACTCTTCCTATTACAAAATTTGATAGCCAACATGTCAAATAGTTTATTAAGAAAATTATTAAATATAACTTAATAAAAATTCAAATACCGAATGTTTGGGAAACCGACCTTTATGACTTAAGTCTTTCACAAATCTTGAAGGAAATTATTTATTTAAAGGTGATATATTCTAAAATAAAAATAACTTGAAAGATATCTTTACCATTATATTAAATTAAGAACATATATATCGATTATTTTATTAATAAAAATAAATATCTTCACTTTTCGAAAATAAACTTTATATGTACTATATTTGAATCTCACGATATCGGCCAGAAGAGATTAATTTATTTAGACATAATATATTTCTAAAATATCCTTTTATTTAACAAGTAACTATCTTTAAATGAACTATTGTTCATGTAGATTTATCACTTACAAATTCTTTGGCATATAAACGTTTAGCATATAAATCTTTCAAATTAAATTATAATATTTTGCAACTAAAAGATAATTATCAATTTTTTTATAAAATAAAAAAGATTTCAACCACCTATTCTTACTATTAATTGACGAAATATATTTTGAAATTAAGATAGGTTTATGATTTTCTTTCATCCATGATATGCACCATCTAACATGCAATTAGAAGATTTTATTAAAAAAAAAAAAAAAAAAAATCTCCGAAATCTTCGATCCGTACCGAACCGACCCAGTAGAACCGAATCTCCGAACCGTAATTCGGTTCGGTTCGGTCCGGAGATTCATTAGAACCGGTTCGGTTCCGGAGATCCAGTTTTTGAAATCTCCGAATTTCGGTTCGGTTCTGGAGATTTCTGGATCTCCGAACCGAACCGACCCGTGCTCAGCCCTAATTCTGATACTTAATTTTGTCCGACAAAATAAAGACCCCTAAGATATTTATGGCGTCATCTCCAGCCCAACCAACATAACGTTCTCATAGTTTGAATGTCTGAAAGTATTACCATCAAGAAGAAGGATGTTGATCTGCCAACCTCTCGTTCTCTGCTACGAGGTAAACTTGTCGATCAGTCCTAGAAGGAAGGCTATCCTCCAACTGATCACATCCCAACCGCCACGTATACAAAATAAATATTATTTTAGAGACGTTCTTCCCTTCTATAAAAGGAGGGATTTGGAAGCCCTAGAGATCATCAGTTTACGCACCAGTGAATACATACTAAACGCTCTGTAATCTTTCTTTCCTTTCGAAGTTTTCCCCTCTTTATGTAGATTTTCAGTTTCTTTCAGCCATTCGGAAGCTTGTACACAAAAGAGTAAAAGGAGCATTCTATTCGATTAACGATATATTGTCGCTTCAAGCGCCTTATTCGTCTAAAAAAATAGCTACATGCTCATCATTACTTCCCGTAAAAAACACATCAATATCCACCCTAAAAAGGTTAAAATACCACGTAATAACACAACCATCATCTCTATGGCCCCTTTGGCGCAAACACAAGTAAAAAAATGGCGCTAGAGATAGGGCACCGTTGAGCATCTAAATCCTTGGATGATTCATGGTGTGGTCCGGTTAAACCCTCAACCAACACTCATCATCTCGTTACTCTACCTCGGCACAGAAGGGTGGCAACATCGTCCCTCTGTTGGTCACCTTCTTGGTCCTCATATTCACAATCGAGGCGATCGACCACCCACACAATCTTCTTTTTCTTCTTTGTTCGACCCGATGTTCCCATACACTTCCTGTACATAAAACATATCGTCTATCCCATTATAATGACCAACATAAAATTTGAAGCCTTCCTTCAACCTTTTATTTGTTTGTCGTCGACAAGAACGTACGGGATGAAGAACTGAAACCTTTTTACCCCGGACTATCTAGCCCGAAGGCTTCTGATCGACCCACGTGGCCTTGAACCTTTTTTACCCCGGACGATCTAGCCCTAAGGCTTCTGATCGAACCGTGTGGCCCTGAACCTTTTTGCCCTGGAAGATCTAGCCCTAAGGCTTCTGATCGACCCACGTGACCTAGAACACTTTTGCCCCAAAAGATCTGACCCTAAGGCTTCTGATTGACCCGCGTGGCCTTGAACATTTTTGCCCCGAACGATCTAGCCCTTCTAATCGACCCGCGTGGCCTTTAACCTTTTTGCTCCAGACGATCCAGCCCTAAGGCTTCTGATCGACCCGCGTGGCCTTTAACCTTTTTACCCAGGACGATAGCCCTAGGACTTCTGATCGACACGCGTGGCCTTGACCATTTTTGCCACGGACGAGAGCCTTAAGACTTTTGATCGACTCGCATGGCCTTGAACATTTTTTCCCCAGGACGATCTAGCCCTAAGGCTCGACCCACGTGGCCTTGAACATTTTTGCCCCGGAAGATCTAACCCTAAGTCTTCTGATCGACCCGCGTGGCCTTGAACATTTTTGCCCCGGACGATCTAGCCCTAAGGCTTCTAATCAACCCGCGTGGCCTTGAACCGTTTTGCCCCGGACGATCTAGCCCTAAGGTTTCTGATCGACCGCGTGGCCTTGAACCTTTTTGCCCTGGAAGATCTAGCCCTAAGGCTTCTGATCGACATGCATGGCCTTGAACCTTTTTACCCCGGACGATCTAGCCCTAAGGCTTCTGATCGACCCATGTGGCCTTAAACATTTTTGCCCGGACGATCTAGCCCTAAGGCTTTTGATCGACCCACGTGACCTATATCATTAAAACAAAAATTTCTCAATCGTAATAACAATTTTTGTTTCAAACATAATACGACATTTTATTAAGCACGTTTTCGCCAATATTGTCGCACATTAAAACGTCCATGGCTACAAGATATTCCCCGGAACAAGTACCTCAGTGCTAACAAAAGGTATATACATCTATGACTTTCCCCTAACTTCACTTAAACCAAATACTTCTAAAGGTGAACAACGTTCCATGCCCTGGGCAGCACCTTGCCATACCTGACTTCGCACTCGTACGCTCTTTCTTTCAAAACCTTAAGGACTTTGAACGACCCTTACCACACTGGCTCCATCTTCCCGACCTTGTTCAAAGCGTCCGCCCTCTTGACCTCCTTTCCAATCGTCGAATCGAAGGGGTCGCGAATCTTGCCTATTTTCCCTCCTAGTGTCTTGCAC